AGTAAGTACCTGTTACACTAGTATGGTATAGATAGGTATAGATAAATGGGTATAGATAAGTAAGTACCTTTTACGCCAGCAAGCTATAGATAAGTGAGTATTTTTTAGGCTAGCAAGGTATATATTATATTCATTTCCCTAAATCCATCCCTGATGTGAGGTATGGATGTCATTCGAACAATAAAACATAAAATACCTCACATCAGGGATGGAATCTATTTCTTGCTTATAACCTAAAACCTATATAAACAGCTGCTCTGCGAGTAAAGTTTTAAACTATCCGCACATTTCTCATTTGCAATTGAATCCTGGATGGCAATTGTTAATGACGTCAATGACCCTGACTGACCCCAAAACCTCATAAAATGACATCAAGAACAATAGCGTGGCCCTGAAAGGTCACTATAATTCCCCTGGCCAGTCTGCAGGTGTAATCAATCCAGACCCATGGGTCCGATAGAATTTTCCTGCACCGCCGAAAATGCCTATATCTGGGTCTAGTATGCAAGAATAAACAAACCCAAATGATTTGGGCAGATCTAGAGCTGACTACTGTTCTGGACTTAAAATGAGAACCCACAAAAACTACATACTGTTTATACTAGTACAGTACTTGTGTAGAATTTGTCATGTTGATTACGCAAATGAAAAAATTGTAGATTAAATTCTTGACTCATTCATACTAGATTTCACAAAAATATGATGACATCCAAAGTGTTTCGACTTAAAGTAGAAAGAGTATTTGTTCCAAGAAAAACGGACAGGAAGACGTTGTTAGGATTTGTTTTTCATTTTAAAAAAATGCAATAACTTACATGATGGTAATCACAGATGCCCAAAAAGATAAAGAAAAGAAAGGAGTGGGCCCTGGAGGGATGATATATACTCAACAGCAAGGGATACCACAAGGGGGCGCCACGGGTCTGCAGCAACAGCCGATGCAGGATCCGATCAATGCCCTTCAGAACCTTGCAATGCAAGGAACCACAGTACCTGGCCAGCAAACAGGTGAGTATATACTGTAGAACTTCACCTGGCCAGCAAACAGGTGAGTATATACTGTAGAACTTCACCTGGCCAGCAAACAGGTGAGTATATACTGTAGAACTTCACCTGGCCAGCAAACAGGTGAGTATATACTGTAGAACTTCACCTGGCCAG